GATAATTATCAATAACATGCGAGTCTCCCTTTTTATGAAGTGGGCGGACTTCACCTATTTTCATCAGATACGGAAATTTGCTAATGGACAGTGATAAGATAATTAACCTAATGAGTGGAAACAAGATGTGTTCATGCATAGTTTCCAATAAACGTAATGAAAGTCTATCTATGAGCTGTTTTTATTCTTTAAAGAAGATAAAATACTTGAAACATTATATACTACAAAGTATGGTTCAAAAGTGCTGTTCGATGGAATGACAGAGACTTTACAGAAATTTTCTGGACCACTACTGTGTTCTTTATTTTAATATTACGAGACTTGAAAATTAATCTGCTAATGCATTTTGATCTTTAATTTGTTCACCGTCAACAACAAGAGAAACCTCTTTTGTTTTGGTTTCACAAACACACAGTATTATTATTATTATTATTATTATTATTATTATTATTCTTATTATTATTATGATTTTCCTTTATGATGTACCTACCATGTTTCTTTAATTGCACAAGAAGCTTCCATAATTTTTTTCTACATGGCTTTGCAACTTTTATTTTATTCCTGTATTCAATCTTTTTATCATGGAGATTTTGCCTATTATTTGGGCATCAATTGTAGGCACACACCATTGCAGCTATTCAATATGTTTTTTCAACTGAATAATTTCAGGTGTGTACCAGGTTTCAGAAGAATTATTTTGTTGTATTTTTCTTTGCTGTAAAAGGGCGAGAAGCATTTAAGCACCATTATATACTACAATGAAACTTCCAAAAGGCATCAGTTACATCACCATATAGAATCGTGGCTGGCGCTTATAACATGTTTGACAGGTGTGGTTCAGCAGCGTTGCCAGATGGTCGATACTTAGTACAGGAAAGAAGCCTTATCAAATGGTTTGGGATTACGGAGTATGGACTAACTGTATACTTTATCTGAAGTCACTTGAAACCCTGTGAAATACCGGGTGCGTTTTATATATCTATATTTAACACGCTCTGTTGCTTCAAAAATCGCCAAATTTCGCAGCAAATATAAGATCAAAGGCAGTTTCACCGGTCCACGTGGAGTAAAGCACGCCTATGCGTGGACATAGCCAATGAGAAAACGTGTATTTCAGAGCTCCGAACAAGTGCAGGTGGCTACTGAAAATTGAAACAGTTTAGCCAGTGCCGTGTAGCGGTGAATAAACGTGATTTCTTTAGTCTGTCCGTGTTTTTTCATAGATTTTATTAGTTTGTGTGTTTTTGACTTTTGAATACTCAGTTTACTTGTTGATTTAATTGTTGTGTTGATTGTTCTTGTGTGTCCTAAATATGGCTCTTTGGAGACCTTGGGAAAATGCTCCAAGCCACGAGGAGATGGTTGATGAACCTGTGCAGGCAGAATTCTTTCATAAAGATTTAGAGGAACAGACCCAAAGAGTAATCCTAAATATGTATGATTGTCTGCAAAACGAAAATCCAGATTCCTCGCAAAATCAAATTTTAAACAGAATTTGTATCCTGACAAAAATCAGTCGGTCTACCATTTATCGGGTAATAAAAAGGGGAGATGTAGTCAACCATTCCTTCCACAGAAAGCGCATAGGGCAAAAATTAAAAAGAATAGACGTGGGTTTTCAGGAAGATATTCGTCGTATAATATACGGATTTTATAAAGAAAATTTGGTGCCCACGTTGGAAATGATGCGGGATAAATCAAAAGATTATCCTGAAGATTTTTATAATTACAAATGCTTAAACTCACTGCACTGTATTGTAAAACTGTGTGGTTTTCAATACAAAAAATTAGATAAAAGAATGGTGATTATGGAGTCGCCTTTAATCGTTGAATTGCGCCAAGAATTTTTGCACAAAGTTAAAATCTATAGAGAGCAGAAAAGAAATCTGATTTACCTGGATGAAACGTGGTATGATACCCATGATGTTGTGCAGTACGGCTGAGTTGACGACAGCAACAAGTGCATTTTAAATGCACCATGCTACCGTGGAAAACGAATCATTATTCTCCATGCTGGCAGTGACAATGGATGCCTTGCTGTTATCTGCCAAAAATATCAAAGAATCATGTGCCGACTATCATGAGGACATGACCTCCGACTTATTTGAAAAGTGGATAGAGCAGCAGTTAATACCAAACATTTCCCCAAATTCAGTGATTATTATGGACAATGCGCCATACCATTCCCGACAGAAAAACAAAATTCCGAATGCGCCATACCATTCCCGACAGAAAAACAAAATTCCGAATACAGGCACAAAAAACAAGACATTATTGATTTTATGAAGGATAAGGGAATGGAAATACCACAAAAATCAACCAAAGCCATATTATTGGATCTTATTAAAAGACAAAAATTTTAAAAAGAGTATGTTGTTGACAATCTGCTTCAGCAAAATGGCCATGAAGTATTACGTCTACCTCCCTATTACTGCATTTTTAACCCGATTGAGTTGGCCTGGGCTGCTTTAAAAAAAACTAAGAAAACATAATCAGACCCCTCATTGGCCACAATAAGGGATGCAGTATCTCATATTGCTGCCACAGACCTATGGAAGCAGTGTTCTAGGCATATTATTGAAAAAGAAAATGAATATTGTGTTTTGCCTCCTGTAAATCCCGTTGTAATTCCTCTACAAGACGACTCTAGCGACAGCTCCGAAGGCGAGGATGATATATAAATATACCTATAATGTAAGTCTTCATATACCTTTTTCAAACGTTGGAATTCTGTAATTTTTCCATTTCTTAACTTTCAGTCAACATAAATTAAACTCCCAATATAAGTATTTTTTATCCCAAATCAAAAAAATAAGAAGATAGTAAAATCCATTTATTGTGATATAAAAACATTATTATTATCGTTCTAAATAAATAACCGCACGCCTATGATACGTCATGAAATTACAAAGGACGCGCCGACCAAAGGTTTTTATGCTATTTCAAGTGACTTCAGATAAAGTATACATAGGCCTGTTTGGCTGAATTGACCCATTAATTGTTATTATTAAACATCTTCGTATCTAGCTCAAAGGGACCATAGTCCTTTATGAACTGATGACAGCGTTGCGTAGGAAGCGCAGAGTCAACCTACTTGGCGCCATTTTCTGATTAAACTAAACATTCGTCTTCGGCCAAAAAATTGGTCGACCCCTACTGTCACGTCTGGAAGTCCGGTTCAAATTTCTTGGACATCTCGGGACACGGATTGATACTTTAATCGTTTTTATATAACTTCATTATTTGGGAAACCGAACTGTATCAAATTGCTAATCTAAAGGCCACCAAAAACACTAAACGCATGGTTAAGCTTGTGGTACTGTAATCAAATTTACTAACAAGGATGGCTTCGGTACTAGTGTTTCATGAATATGCCATTTATTTTACGTCACTTATGGAAAAATAAGAACGATCTGACGAAATATGTTCCATAACTGTCAGTAAGAAAAATGCACAAAGCTTGGTTGAGTGAATCTGTTACAATTTTTAGTATTTTTAGTAACGGAACGTGTTAATACATGCAAAAATATGCTAAAGTAATTATTAGTGTTTTACAATTGTTGAGAAAAAACGAAAGTATAGTTACCATGAAATACGGCAAAGGTATTCATAGAGTATTTTTGATGATTTTTGGCCGCAGAAAATGTCTTGCCACTTTTAGATCAATTCCACTTTATGGAAGAATCGTTGAAAAATAAAAATCTACTTGGAATTACTGATACACGAACATTCTAAACGTAGAAATGCTTGGATTTAGTCTCTCTGATCCGTTGAAGTTTTTCTTACTGCGCTCCAAGACCAAGAACAACAAAATAAGAATTATGACATTTTCTTAAATGTTGACCCTTTCAAAAAAAGATTTGTTGACTGGAACCAAACACAGAAACTCGGAAAAACAGGGACAAAGTTAAGGAACGTTTCAACAAATTTTCTTTTTTGGTTAGAAAGTAGATTTATTCGAAAACTTCATCAAAGTCCCAGGCGCACTACTTGAATTCGCCAGCTCCAATTTCAAATATCCAGATATTTTTAATAAAGAAAGCAGCTATAGTACTAGTGAACCTTTAGGAAAAACATGGCTATACTAATAAAGTGGATTAGGATGGTAAAATCTGGACAAAGATTGTTTTCAGATTAAAATCCTTCACTTTAGATTTTAAGTTATAATGAAAAAACTGATAATCGTTGTGAATTCGAAAAAAAAAACGATAAAGACAAGTTACAAGGACTACAAAATTCTTGTTACCTTTTTTCTCTAGGTTTACGGAAATTTGATCACATGTGTACAAAGAGAATTATGAAATGAACATGGAGAATCTCAGAAAATACCAAAGTTTACGTTTGGTTCATAAAATTTTAATCAATTAGAAACTACAATATCTTTTGAATAAACTCAATAATTTGACTACCAGAAGTAAACAATTATTAGTTATGCCTAAGCACTTTGCATCAAGTTATACAATAATTTTCCATATGAATTTCGAAAATATACTCTGAATAATTTTAAAAAGAAACTGAAGTCATGGTTACTCAGAAGTACATAATCACTCCCAACCAAACTACCTTCATAGTTTTGAAATAAATTTATGTAGTTTTACAAAAAAAACATATAAAGCTATAGTAATAGATCGTTGATCACTTTATTATTCATTTTTAAGTTGAAAAATACCAACATGGTAATACTCCACCGATTCGATTCTTGAAATTTTTCTCACTTATCAATGCTTATTGTTGTATGCTGGTCATATTGTGTAAAAGAATCGAATAAAGACGAAGAATTCTGATAAACACAAATAATTTTTTTCGATGAAACAGAAGTACCTAACTGCTCGTGCACATTGACCCTTTTGAGGCAAGTGATCCATCATTCATAAGAATGAAATCAAGGATTTCAGTCTCAAGATGACAAAAAAACATCTGCCTAAAATATTTCACGAACAAAAAAAGCAGAAGCAAAGAGATTTTTTACAAAAAAACTCAGTCTAAGATTCGATACTTACCTCTCAAAAAGATAGTACCAATAGTACCAAAACAACAAAAGAACTAAGTGCACTTGAACATCGACCGTAGGTAAGCGTGAACAAGCTCCGCGCCAAGCAAATAAAAATGCGCCTGCGATCGCGAAGCGAAGGTGTACCGTTGCGGTAGTACTTAGCGAGACTCTGGTACGAAAGAGCGGAAACAACTCCCAATGGCAAGCAGTACCATCGACCTCTTATACGGGCTCTAGGGTGGGGCGGAAGCACCCATCCTGACAAGATCATCAACATATCGTCGGATTCTCTGGATTGGATCTAGGGTTATACTTACTATGAAATAAAGGAGCGCCAGCAACTCCAAATGGCAGGCAGTACCATCGACCTCTTATACGGGCTCTAGGGTGGGGCGGAAGGACCCGTCCTGACAAGATCATCAACATATCATCGTCGGATTCCCTAGATTGGACTTAGGGTGGTAATTACTATTAAATAAAGGAGGGCTAGCAACTCCCAGAAGCAGGTAGTACCATCCAAGGTGTTACTTACTATAAAATGAACGAGCAGCAATAATTCTCCATGGCAGACAGTACTATTAGTCTTCTATACGGGCTCTAAAGTCCTGAAGTGCATATCCAGATACCATGGTCACCTTTTCTAGACTAGATCTATGGCGGTACTTACTATGATACGGAAGAGTAAAAACAACTTACGATGACAGGTCCATCTACATCTACCTTATACGGATTCTAGGTTGGGGTGAGAAGACTTATCCTGACGAGCTCATCAACATGCCATTGTCGCAATCCCTAGATTCAATCTAAGTTGGCAGATACTGTGATGCGAAGGTGCGGTATGAACTACTGATGGCAGGCAGTACCATCGACCTTCCATACAGGATCTAAGCTCGCGCGGACGGACCCATCCTAAAGAGCTCATCAACATAACTATCATCCTCGCATTCTCTAGGTAGGATCTATGGTGGTACTTACTCTGATATGGAAGAACAGAAGCAACGTTGCAGACAGTACCATTGGCATTTTATACGGGCTCTAGGGTGGGGTGGAAGGAGTCATCCCAAGTGTCTCATCCACATTATTTTAGACTGGTTCTATGTTGGTTCCTACCGCGACTCTAACACGAAAAGGCAGAAACAACTCCCAATACCAGGCACTACCATCGACCTCTTGTAGTGGCTCGCAGGAGAGGCGGAAGAACTTATCCGTATGACTTCAATAACATACCATCATTGCACGCTGTAGATCTAGATCAGATCTACGATGGCAAGTACTCTGACACGAAAAAGCGACGACAGCTCCCAATGCCAGGCAATATTATCGACCTCTTATAGAAGCTTTAGGGTGGAGCAGAGAGATCCATCCTGACGAGCTCAACAACATATCATTGTCGTATTGTGTCAGTTAGTAGTACTTGTCCGCAAATCTGACACGAAGGATCGGAAACAACGCCCAATGGCAGGCAGTACCATTGGCCTCTTATACGGGTTCAAAGAACTCATCCAAACTATCTTCTCAAATCATTATCATGATATTATTCGAGATTGGAACTACGGTGGTACTTCCTCTGACACGAAAAAGCAGACGCAATTCCCGATGACAGGTAGTGCAGAAACAACTCCCAATGGCAGATAGTACCATCGACCTTTTATACGGAGCCTAACGAGGAGCGAAATGATCAATCCTGAGGAGCTCATCAACATATAGTCGCCGTATTCTCTAGATTGGATCTGCGATATTACCTATTCTGACACGAGAGAGCTGAAACACCTCCCAATGACAGGCAGTACCATCCACCCCCTATGCGGACTCTAGGATATGGTAGGAAGATCCACCCTGATGATCTCATCAACATATCATCGTAGTATTGTCTCAGTTTGGATCTATTGAGGTACTTATCCGCAACTCTGACACGAAAGAGCGGGAACCATTCCCGATGGCGGGCAGTACCATTGGGCGCTTAGATATGCTTAAAGATAGGGCAGAAAAACTCATTCCAACTGTCTCATCTACATTATTTTAGACCGGATCCACTGAGGTTCCTACAGCTCCTATAACACAAAAGAGCAGAAACAAGTCCCGATGACAGGCGGTACCATCGGCTTATACGGGCTCAAAGGCTCAAAGGTCGAGTGGAAGGACTCATCCCTACTGTCTCATCCACAATATTATAATCTGGGACTAACTAGGTTCCTACAGCCACTCTTACATGAATAATACCAGGCAGTACCATTGACCCCTTATACCGGCTCTAAAGTGGGGCAGAGGAATTGATCATAATAAGCTTATCAATATATCATAGCCACATTCTCTAGATTGGATCTATGGCAGTACTTACTGTGACCCGAGCGATAGGAAATAACTCTAACTCCCGATGGCAGGCAGTACCATCGACCTCTTTTACAGGACTTAGGGTGTGACAGAAAGAGCGGAAACAACTCCCGATGGCAGGCAGTATCATCTCCCCTTATACGGACTCTAGGGTGGGGTAGGAAGATCCACCCTGATGATCTCATCAACATATCATCGTAGTATTGTCTCATTTTGGATATATTGAGGTACTTATCATCGCCATATTCGCCAGATTGGGTCTATGGAGGTACTTTGACACGAAAGAGCGGAAACAACTCACTATGGCAGGCAGTACTACCGACCGCTCTCACGGACCTACTTTGAGTTGAGTGGGATAAACTTTATAACAAATGGTACTACTAGTAGCATTTCATAAGGTGTATTCGATCCGAATTATAGCCTCGGAGTATTAAACTCGGGAAGTCTAAGACTTGCATCAAAGAATATCAGATAAAAGCTGAGCACCATGAAAATATCATTACTCCACTTAAAAAATTGTTGTACTTATTGTAACTGCGTTTTAAAATAAACTATAAAGCATTTTCCCATAAAACCAAGACAGTTAACTTCAGTCGTAATAAAGTACTGACATTCAGTTAATGTTACGATGCTAACAAGACGTATGGAGAATACTAAATGTCGAGTATGATTTAAATTCCGAAAATGACTTGGCAAGGTCAATGGTATCAAGTGGGCACACCTTTTTAAGGTCCTTTTATTTATTTTTTGTTTGTGGGATTTTTACTAAAAAGGTACGCATATACTCCATTAGTTATTATGAGATAAAGCTTTATTTTTTATTGGGCTTTCTGACAAGGATTATGAGTCAATGATCCAAATAAGTTTATTCACCTCTCGGTCTATCTGTAAATTTAAAACCACATAACATGCTGAATAGAGATTATATCAACGTTTGTGCTTCAATAGCTAATTTTCAAATACATTTGACTTTTGAATGCATTTTGGAAAAAGCTAAATGTAGAAAAATTACCCTACTGGATTGGATGCAAATGTGGTAGATTACTACAAAAAGATGCATTGGACATGTTTGGGGTCACCCTAGACCATTGTGAGAAAGTCTTTTTACATAATCTAGAAGCCTCAGATGTCATAAAGCGTTAATACCCTGACAAACTGATGCTTGAAATGCAACTTATGTCGAAGTTTGATAGCTTTTGAGGACATTTCTATGGCCGAACAAAGAAAAATGCGTTTTTATTGCAATCTATCGTTCAGAATTTCAGGCATCTAGCTTATAGTAAAATTATATCAAACCATGGCGAATCCAGCTATAATACAGCTAGCTTCGTTTACATACGAGTATGATAGTATAACTGAAAAAAAGTATTCCAATAACTTGAAATATACTAAGTGACATATAAATACGAACACCCAGTTTAAATGGTTTTATTTTAATAAAATTTTGTATAAGTACTTAATGAAGCATAATAAGTAAATGATAAAAATTTCAAAATGATTGCACTGCTTTAAAGCCCTTTGACCTTTAATAATGTGAGGATGCACCCTGATGTGCTACGCATTCTCCAACGTGCCTAGGCATGCTTCTGATCAGGTGGTCAATGTCCTCCTGTGGTATCTCATTCCAGGCAACCACCAACTCCTCTCGAAGTGCTTCTAGAGTCTGAGGAGGACGTTGCAAATTGAGCAATCTCCTATCCATCATATCCCACACGTGCTCAATTGAGGATAAGTCGGGAGATCTTGGTGGCCATGGTAACAATGTGACATCATTATGTTGAAAGAAGTCTATTGTGACTCTTGCAACATGTGGTCGGGCATTATCTTGTTGGAAAGTTGGATCTGCCAGGGTGTCAAGATAGGGTAAAAGATGGGGTTCTAGAACTTCGTGGATATAACGCTGCGCGTTCATGTTACCTCTGATGAAGATTAAAGGTGACCTGGAACCATAAGCTATAGCACCCCAAACCATAACTCCAACAATGTGATGAACATGTCTTTCAACAAAAAACTGTGGATTCCTCCTTTCATCACGTCACCTTCTAACCCTGGCACGACCATCGTGCATGCCTAAACAAAATCGAGACTCGTCACTAAAGACAATACTGTTCCATTCCTGATCCCAGAGTGACCGTTGTCTGCACCACTCAAGGCGATTACGTCGGTGTTCTCGAGTTAAAGGGAGGACTCAGTGTGGCCGGTATGAAAACAAGCCAAAACTTCTCATTCGTCGGTAAACACTTCGCATGCCAATAGGTCTTCCGTGTTCTGCAAACCATTCATTTGCAATGGATCTGGTAGTGGAGAAACGGTCCCTTAAGGCCAATAATATTAGGCGGCGATCTTCACGGTCTGTTGTTCTGCGGCGGCGTCCAGTGCCCCTTGCTCTTTGCGTACGGCCTTCTCGAAGCCATGCCTGACAACACCTAACCACAGTGTCTACACTTCTTTGCACTCTAACTGCAATTGCCCGAAAAGAAAGTCCAGCTTCCCGAAGTCCCACTATACGGCCCCTATCAAACTCACTAAGTTGACGAAATCGTACAGGTCTCCGTACTCTAGGCATCGTAACCGATCGTAAAGGATGTCAAGAACCAAAATCCGCCAACGTTGATTCTTTACTGCGGCTGAAATATTCATTTTTAGAGCGTTAGTGAATTAAAAAAAAGCAGTATAAAAACCGGAATGTCCAACTGATAACGCTGAAAATATTTTCACTTGTTATTTACAGTAAGATAAATACATTCACCAACTTTTATTAAAATAAAACCATTTAAACTGGGTGTTCGGATTTATATGTCACTTAGTATATAACTGGTATCGTTCACAAATCTGAAAAAAA